CCCTAAACACTAAACCCCAAAGCCCTAAACCCTAAACCCAAAGCCCTGAAACCCCTAAACCCTAAACCCTAAACCCCAAAAGCCCTAAACCCTAAACCCTAAACCCCTAAACCCTAAAACCTAATCCCTAAACCCTAAACCCCAAACCCTAAACCCTAAACCCTGAACCCTAAATCCTAAATCCCTAAACCCTTAAACCCCTAAACCCTAAATCCCTAAACCCTAAACAGCACTTAGGAGTCGGTCCTGCGGCGTTCTTCACCGCCTGCCGGAGCGAGGAAAGAGTCTCAGAGAACGGAGGATCTAATGCAGGGGCCTTACCAATAAGAATAGGGTTTTGGGGTTTTGGGTTTAGGGTTTAAGGTTTAGGGTTTAGGGTTTTAGGGTTTAGGGCTGAATTAAGGCTTTAGGGTTTAGGGTTTATAGGGTTTAGGGTTAGAAACCTGAGAATAGCGTTTAGGGGGTATATCAGGGCTCCTTTAACGGGGTCTATAAGGGTTAGTATAAGAGTTTAGGGTGCAGGGGCCTAATTAATGATAAGAATCGGGTTTTGGGGCCCATTATACTAGAATTATAACCAGGAACCCCCCGCAAAACAGTATTCGCAATTATTATTTGGGCCCATGCCCTAAGCCCTAAACCCTAAACCCTAAACCCTAAACCCTAAACCCTAAACCCTAAACCCTATACCGGCCAAAGTTGGAGCCTTCGGGTCGTCGTGGAGCCCCCTTAGGCCCTGAGGAATACGATTCTTCTTTCTTGGGGTTTTGGGCTCCTTAATACTATATTTATAACAACTTTCTTAGGGTTTTGGGCTCCTTAAGATTTTAATTATAATAAGGAACCTTAAATAATACCGGGCCTGAGCCGCTGCTTTCTCGAAGGACTCGAGATCCTGCTGTAAAGTTACCTTGCAGCTCCCGCTTAGGATGGCTTCGAGGAGTCGCAGGGCATCCTGTGAGGCAAGGGCTAGCCTTTATAGGGTTCTAAACGGGTGGTTATAATGGGTTTAGGGTTCAAACCTGAAAATTTTTATAGGGTTCTAACAGGGTGGTTATAATGGGTTTAGGGTTCGGGGGTTTTTAGGGCGTGACTATCATGCCATCCAGCCGAGCGGCATAGTTCACGCCATGCAAGTGAATAGAAATGTCGTAGGAATCTGAGCCTGCGCTTGGGGCACACATGCAAACATTATGCACAACTAACTCATCCACTCTTGACTGCGTCGCCCATCCGACAATGACCCATGAACAGCAAGACACCTGGGATTTGTTCCAGATCATACAGAGCCCGAGAACTAATTTCATGTGATGGTGCTGGTGGCGCTAGCGGTGCAGTACTGGCTTTTGTAATGCTATAGAACTCCACCACAGTGGAATCACGCTGGCAAAACCCTAAACCCTGAACAATAAGCGAACGGCGCCCGTACTGGCAGAGGTAGTGGTGGTAGCGGTAGAACAAGCCAGCAGTAGGAGGAGTAGGAGTAGGAATAGGAGTAGGAGTGGGGGTTGTCGTCGTGGAAATCCCGGTGGTATTGCTAGTAGCCGTCGTCTTTGTAGTCGTCGTCGTAGTGGTAATGGCGGAAGAAACACAATCACGATAAGACGAATGTCAGCAGTAATTGCAGGAATGCTCGTCTGTGGGCGAATCGCCCGCTCTAGCCGTCTAGCTCTTTCCCCACTTCGATTCAGGGCGACATAAGTCGCAACACATCTCAAGCCTAAACCCCTAAACCCTAAACCCCTAAACCCCTAAATCCCCAAACCCTAAATCCCTAAATCCCTAAATCCCTAAACCCTAAACCCCTAAACCCCTCAACCCTAAACCGCATTGCAGCAGCGCCTGCTGGCGCGTACGGAAGAGATGCCGGCTGTATCATGTCCGTCACCGCAGTGACCTGGCTGCAGCTTCCGGTCACGATGGTTTCAGCATGTTCAGCCCTTCAGGCCCCAGTATACTAGGGTTTAGGGTTTAGGGTTTAGGGGTTTGGGGTTTAGGGTTTAGGGTTTAGGGTTTAGGGTTTAGGGGTTCAGGGGTTTAGGGGTTTAGGGTTTAGGGTTGATACCACATGGGGGTTTCCGTCAAAATAGGGGGCCCTAATATCGTACCCCAAATAGTAGGATCCTTAGTATAAGGACCCCCCAAAATAAGGGACACCTTATCGTCGGAAACTCCCTAAACCCTAAACCCTACACCCTAAACCCTACCGCGCAATCCCC